CAGCTGGGAGGGCTGCAGCCTGCCCTTCCGTGCTGTTCCCAGCAGGAGGGGAGGGGGCAGCCCGGCCGCCTGGGTGCCCTCCTCAGCCCCACTCACTCGTGCTGGGTGGCACTGGGGCAGGGGACTGTAATTTCACTCCATCTCAGGGAAGGCAGCCAGGGTGTAACTGGGAGCTGGGGGGGTGTTCATAAAGGGGTTCAGTTCATCGTCACCCGCTCTGGGGACAGGCTCCGAGACCCCATGCGTCCCCCCAGCGGAGATGGGAAGCCCAGGGCAGATCAGCCTTTCTGCTTACCCAGGGTGAGGGGATAATGCAGGCTTGGGGTTTGGGGACAAGGACCCCGCTGTGCCAGCACAGGCTGACCACGCTGGGCCTGCTGCCAGTCTACTGACTGCCCACTTGTGTGCTGAACTCCCGCGTGCTCAGCCTCAGTTGCCTGTGTGATAAATGAAGGGGTCACAAAACTTTCTCGGGAGCATGTTTCTTCCCCTGCTTAGGTGGGTGGTGCCTAAAAAGAGGGGTTACGGTGCAGGGAGGGAAGGAGGAAAAAAGCCAGGCGTGACCGAGAGCATCCTCCTGGCTCGGCTCCTCTCTGCTGGCTGGCTCCGGCGTGGAAAGAGCCCCTTGTCTGCAGGATCAGCCACTCCACTGCGCTTGTCTGGGTGGTGAGGGAGGAAAAAGGGGCTCGTGACTCTTGCAAAGCGATGGGGAAAGGAAAGGGGTGTCTGGCTTGAGAGCGGCTTCCTGAGGGGAGACAAGGAGCAGGGTACAAACCGGCTGAGCCATGACGGTAGAGCAGCCTATCCGGCCCCCTGCCAGCCCTGTGGCTCCCCAGGCCATGGTGGGATCCGAGCAGGCTGGGCTCTGCCCACTGGGCTGCCAGGGAAGAAGGATGAAACCTGGTGGGTCTGGGGTCAGCAGCCCTGTCCCACCAGAGGATGCTCAGCATCTCGGGGCAGGAGCTGTTTGGGGAGCCCCAGGTTGGGAAGGATGTGGCTGCAGGGCTGGGGGTGAGAGGGGCTGGGACCGATCTGCACAGCATGCAGTGCTGCCGCTCAGGGCAAGCCAGCCGGGAGCCAGAGGGCTGGGAGACGCTCCCTGCACTGCTAACACACGTCCTCCCTCCTTGCAGGCCAGGATGGCTCCTCGGATCTAGCCAGGGAGGCCAGAGCAGCACCGGAGATCCCTGTCCAAGTGATGGTGGGACCGGGATAGAGGAGCTGCTGCGAGGATGTCTGAAGCCAAGATCCTGAGCTCCTCTTGCCTCGTGCTTTCCTTGCTCTCCTTGCACTGGGCTTCACTCCAGCTGGGCCAGGCTTTTCCCAGCACCTCTGACTACCTCCAGCGGAGCTGGCAGCGGCTGCTGGAGGAAGGGGAGGGCTGTGCTGAGTGCCGGCCGGAGGAGTGCCCGGCGCCACGCGGGTGCCTGGCTGGCACGGTGCGGGATGCCTGTGACTGCTGCTGGGAGTGTGCCAACCTGGAGGGACAGATCTGCGACCTGGACAACACCAACCACTTCTACGGGAAGTGTGGGGAGCACCTGGAGTGCCAGCTGGATGCCGGGGACCTGCGGCGCGGAGAGGTGCCTGAGCCCCAGTGCACCTGCCTCTCCCGCCTGGCCCTCTGCGGCTCTGATGGCAAAACCTATGCCCAGATCTGCAGGTTCTTGGAGGTCGCCCGTGCCCACCCCGACACCAACCTCACCGTGGCCCATGAGGGTCCCTGCGAGTCAGGTAGTGCCCCAGGAACGGCTGTGCGGGCAGCGGGATGGAGACTTGTACCTCTTGGGAAGGGACAAGCAAGGGAGTCTGGTTTAAATATTTCACCTGGCAGCAAACCCACAGCACCCGCAGGGACACGGCAGCAGCAGGAGCTGGGTACAGGGTACCCAAGCTCTGGGGTCCCTCTCCCCGAGTCTGCCCGGCTCTGCTGCTCTGGGGCAGCCCCTGCAGATCCAGCGCCTGGAGAGATCTGGGAGCAGCTTCGCCAAGTGGGAGCAGGGTTTATGGGAAGCAGCAAATCCTGCCGGAGCAGGTGGGGAAGTTCCAGGGAATTGTTAGCGAATTCTTGGCGGCGGTGCTGGGTTCACGCTGGCCTGGTGCTCCTGAGAAATGCGTTTGCCTCCTGCAAATGGAAACCTGCGTCAGTTTGACTTGGCCGCACGGTTTCCATCTCCCGTTTAAAACTTAGTGGGAGGCTGGGGGGTGCAGGCAGTGGCGGGGAGGCCGTGTCCCAGCCTGCCCAGTCCATGCAGGTCACCCAGTGCTGTCACCACAGCCTGAGGGGTGTCAAGGTTGACTTTATTTTCTGTAGATCATCATGTCCTTGAGTTTTTCCCCCACGTATATTTGGAGGTGGAGGCCTTCCCTTGACCTCTGGCTCATGCTATGGGCCAGATCCTGGAGCAGGTGTGGGTAGGAAGTGTGGTCCTCACTCCATCCCTCCAGGGAAGGGATGTAGGACCTGGAGGTATTGGCTCCGTACAGCAGCCAGGGACCTGCTAGATCCCTTAATCGCTGGCATGAGCCTGGTGCCAGAGCAGAGGCCTCGTTCAGCTGGAAGCTCATCCACCTCATCCATCCCCACCAGCCTCGCGCTGGCTGAGTGCCCCTTGACCTTTCCCCCTGCAGGATGAGCATGCTCTGATTGCACGGGAGAGCTTTGCTTTGTAGCATCGCTGTTACTGAACTGTTCCTGCTGCCCGTGGGTCCCTGAGCATCACTGTGCAAGCGGGAAAAGCGAGGCCAGGAGGGATGGCAACCGCCCATGGGCTGGGGGGGGCTGGGGAGGGAGCCCCCAGTCCCAGCTGCGAGGAGGGACTGTGTCTGGGGGCAAGGTGAGGGTCTGCTATGGGTGGGAGAGGAGGGGGGCATGAGAAGGGTCCCAGCATCTCTACATGAGCCAAATGCTGCCACCCTGGAGGGGACCAGCCCAGGAGAGCCCATAGGACCTGCTGAGGGTGGGACTTTTTCTGAGCCCACCCTGCTCTCCTGTCCCCCCTCCCCAGAGCCCCAGATCACCTCTCCTCCCTACGACACGTGGAACATCACTGGGCAGGACGTCATCTTCGGCTGCGAGGTCTTCGCCTACCCCATGGCATCCATCGAGTGGAGGAAGGACGGCACGGAGATGCTGCTGCCTGGAGATGACCCCCACATCTCTGTCCAGGTGAGCGGTGTGCCTAGGGCGTTGGACACAGCCCCGGGGTGACACAGCCCTTCCCAGAGCTTGTGGGCAACAAGACCTGAGGGTGGTCATCCTCTGGGGGTGGCCAAGCCTGGATGCCTGGGGATGAGAAGGGGTAACCGGAGCCTGCACACCGTGAGGACTGGCTGAGCTAGGGCTGGTGTCTCGGTGGTAAGAGCCATCAGCATAGCTCTCTTCTGCAATTTTCTCTAGTAGTTTTTTAACTTATGAATGTTTTTTAGGACCTGGAGACTCCTGCAGCAGGGAGTTTCCCATCTCCCTGCCTTTAGTTTGCTCTGCCTGCTGGCTTCACTTGCAGCCCCCTCAGTGGGGCTGGAGGAGAGGAGCTCCCAAGGCCCCTTCCAGCCTGGCTTATCCTCTGCTCCCACCAGCAGATGCAGGCAGTCCTTGCCCTTTTCTGCCCATCGCTCTGAGCAGGGCTCCCCTCCCAGAGCTGGCACGCCCAGGGGTCAGCATCCTGCCCGCAGCCGGTCCCAAATATAGCGCCCAGCTGGGCATACCCAGCTATTAGAGCGTGTGGGCAGAGGCACAGGGGCTGTGTGCCGTAGCCAGGCACCGGCATGGGGGAAACTGTGGTGGGATAGATGGGGGGAGCCAGGGGAACAGGTGGGACTTGGCACCGTTGCAGGGTGACGTGCTGGTCCCCCTCCATCTTTCTGACCTTCCCGCCACCCCATAGCTTGTCGCAGGATCCAGACAAGGACCTTCACCCCAAGCAGGGCTACCCTGCCTGGCTGGAGGAGACTCAGCTGTCCTCCACCCCCAGCCACCGCACCATAATAGCAGCCTGCAAACACAGCTGCAGCCCGGCTGGGTCAGGAAAAGGTTATTTCTTGCTGGGGACAAACAGAAAATAGCATGGTTGGTGCCAGAGCAGTCTTGGGACCTCGCTGCCTGCCGAAACAGAGGACTCGGGGCTCCTCTGAGCTGTCCTGGACTGGCTGTGCCCCCCATGAAGCCCCCGGCAGAGTTTGCAGTGTCCCGGTCCTCCCGTGCTGCCAGTCTGCCTGTGCAGCTTGGCTGCTTCTCCCGCCCTGCTTCATTCCATCCCTGGCTGTGCTGCTCCCCAGCGTGACCCCAAACCCCCAGACCATCCCAGCTGTGTGCCTGCAGCACAGATGCCCCCATGCTTCAACCACCCTGCGGAGCACTGACCCTGGCATCCTCCCACCATTTGGGGACCACAGTGGCACTGGGGGCACAGCTGGGAGTTCGGGGCACATCTGTGGAGTCCTGCCCAAAACAGGGCTCCCAGGCCCTCCTGGGGGCAAGAAGATGCCCATTCCCCCCACCTCCCCTGGGTAGTGGGAAGAGGGGCAACCTGCATCCAGGGGGTCTGTGCCTGCCCCCAGAGTGGTACTTAGGCAGGGGGATAAAGAGTTTCCCTGGGCTTGTATCCCCCTTCCCATTTGTCCCAGCCCCACATGGAGCTTTCCTCACTCCAAGGCTAACCGAAATCCCCCCCTCTTGCAGTTCAGAGGTGGCCCCCAGAAATACGAAGTGACAGGCTGGCTCCAGATCCAGGGCGTGCGGGTGACGGACGAAGGCACCTACCGCTGCTTTGCCAGGAACAGGGTCGGGGAGGTGGTGGCGTTAGCCAGCCTGACTGTCTTCACACCGGGTGAGCACCATGTCCTTGTGCCCATGCTCTCATGAGGATGAGGGAGGGGGTGTTTGGGCAGGGTGCACTGGTATGGTGGGAGCTGCCAGTGCATAGGGCCATGCTGTCAATGCCCCAGCAAGCTGCCGTGCATAGTTTGGCTTTGGTCCTGATGGGGAAGCGGACAGACACTGGGCGGGGCAATGTCACATTGTCCCCGTGCTGCCATTTCAGACCAGCTCAACCTGACGGGCTTTTCCCTGCCGAAGCCCCGCACGACGCCCGAGGACTATGGGGAGAGTGAGGAGGACTATTACTAGCCCGGAGACGGGATGTCCAGCTGCAGAGATCACCTTGACCACGGTGGCCGTTCCCAGGGGTCGGGGACATCTCCGGAACAAGTACCCCCCAGCACAAAACTCCTTCTCTGGACAGTCCTGGCACAGCAGCCTCTTTTTTGAGGGTGGGGGACATGGTGACACTTCCCTTTGCTGGGGATGCTCGGGGAGGGGACACTGGCTGGTTGGTAGCACAAGTTTGGGACTGGGGGCAGCTCCACCTGGGGCAGGGTGGGTCTGTCCTCTGGCACTGAGCGGGGATGTGGTGGCAGGTGGGACACTGTGGGGACAGCCACAAGGACTTGGTGCAGGGGGTAGAGGCAGCACCCCCAGGAGAGAGAGGCCAGGGAGGGGGCAGCTCAGCCCTGTGCAAAGCATTTTGGGGAAGCCAGAGCGGAGGGCTGGGACCTGGCTGTGACACCCAGTGTGTCACCCCCAGGGCCAATCTGTGTCCCCCAAGGCAGGGACAGCCAGGCTTCTCCCCAGGACCTGGGGAACTTGCTGCCAAAAAGTCCTTCTTTCCCCATTTGTTTTTAACCAGAAAAGTAGTGATTTGAGGAAACCAGACACTTGTTTTCAGTGCTATCTTTGCTCCCCTGGACAATGTTGGCCCAACCACCCATGTGGTCAGAAACATTTTGGCCTTTTTCAACCAACTTTGTGTTTTCCCTTCCAAGCAGCTCTTTACTTTGCCATTTCAGTTAATGTTAGTTAAAATATACACGTAGGTCAAAGCCGACACAGACCAGGCGACTGTCCTGTATCCACAACGATTATTCTGGGGGTGAGGGAGGGTGCAAACACTGTGGATGCTACCTTGCCTGTTGTGGGGGTGCTTGGGTTGAGGAGTCCTCCTGCCCATCCTGGTGCTCACATCTGGTCCTGGCGTGGGTCCTGCCCCTCTCACCCTGCATGGGGATAGGGGTTCCCAGCAGACCATCCCCTCTGCAGTGGGGATGCATCAGGCTGGCTCTTTGCACCCCTGTCAGTTCGGGTCCCATCCCGCCTCTGCCCATCTTCATCCCAGGATCTTGTGCCCAATGACACCGAGGTCTCCACCCAGGTGACCATAGCCCTGCCAGCCAGCACGGAGGGGGCATAGCAGCTCTGTGCCCGGCTGGGAAAGGACAGGGAGGCTCCTGTTTCCACTGGAAATGCTCAATTTTTAAAGAAAACCCACCTGCCTCCCAGAGCTGGTGATTTAGAGCAAATAGTCATTTGGGGGCAGGGTGGGAGGGTAGCCCAGAGCTGCGCTGCGGTGCTCCATGCCCGGAGAGGGCTGGCAGGACCCCTTCCTGTGGACATCCCGGGGCTGAGCTTCCACTCAGGGGGTGCTTTGCCCCCCAAACCAGCAGCATTTAAAGGACTTTTGAGACTCAAAACCTCCCCGTGGACCAAACTGCTCCCAGTTACTCAGTCCCAGCTCCAGGGAGGTCCGGAGCTGCGGCGGGGAGCCGGACCCCGGGAGGAAGGGGTTGGCGAGTCCCCAGGCAGGAGCAGGCAGGATGTGATGAGGCTGGCGGATTCTTTTCTTCCTCTTTTTCTTGAGAGCTGGCTCGGAGCTGGCTCAGACGATGCAATTACAACATCAAAACCTGAACAAGCAAATAAAAGGGATTTGTCTGGAGTTGGCAGCGGAGCAAAATTCCTGCAGCCGGTGAGGCTGGGCCAGTCCTGGCCCCTGTGCCGCAGCCTGATGGGGCACAGCCGGCAGCGCTGCCGCCCTGCCTGCCTGCCTGCTGGACTGTCTGTCCTCTCTGGCAGCAAACTCCTTCTTGGCTGGGGAAATGCAAAAGCCACCCATACCTTAGTTTCTCCTTCCAGCTAACAGCATAATAGCATCCTCCTGGGGCTGCTACATCAGAGTTGAAGGGTGTTTGGGAGAGACCAGGGACAGAAATGTGCTGTTGGCTTTTATTTTGCTTTTTTTGGGTGCAAAACCTGCTTTTGGAGAAGCCGGGGTGTTTTCACCCATCCTGATCCCCTCCTTGTTTCACACACAAATCGGCCTGGTGGAACTGGGCCACACTCAGGCTGAGGCTGCCGTGGGGAAACCCAAGAGCGTCCCGGCACTTCAATGGTTGAGAGCTGCTCCTGGGCTCCCCGCCGGTGCCTGGGGTTGGCCCCCGGCCACGGCTGCCATGCCAACCCTCCCCAGGGCCAGGCCCCCCCTGCCCGCCCTGCCCATGCTGGCGCAAATCCAAGTCGCGCTGGGTGTGGGTGCAGCACTGGGCTGGCTGGGGGGGGTCGGATGGGTTGGACCCCCATCCCTGGCTCTCTGTGTGCTCTGTGGGGTGATGCCCTGCCTGGGCACAGGGGGGCATCCACATTTTGGTCTCAGTCCTTGCCCCCCTCAGCTCTGCACCTGGTCCCTGTGGTACCCCCCACGTACCTGGCAGGGGATGCTGTCAGCTCCCACTCCTGCCCTGCAGGGACAGCAGTGGGGACATGGTGGCTGAGAGAGGGGGGAGCTTGAGCAAGAGCCCTTGGCCAAAATTAACAAAACTGGGGGCTCTATCTCCCAGTTTCCCCAGATCCCAGTGCTGGAGAGGGCTGTCTGAGTTGCAGGCTGGCAGCTTGGCCAGTATTGGGGCTCCACTCCCCCCAAGACCAGGGGCAGCAGAGTGGCCCCAGGGGCATGGAGGGGGCTGGTGTCCCCCTGCCCGGCTCCCTGCCTTTCCTTTTCCAGCCACTTAAAAATTAAAGGAGCCAATATCGCTGCACGGCTGGAATCGGTCACTGCCACAGAGCTTAATTGAGGTTATTTGTTGGCTCTGAAAACGTTTTGTCAGCTCTGCCGCCGGCTGCTCAGATGCTTCCTGCAGCCCCTGCCCCACGGAGGGGGTCCCCCTGGGCTCTGCTGGCGGCAGATGCTCTGCTCAGCTCCGGGCACCTGGAGGGTCCTGGAGACCCAGCCAAACCTTGCCTGGTGTCAGTGTGGGGACAGAGATCATGCCACAACAGTGTGCAGCGCTGAATCCCTTCGCCGATCGATTTTTGGGGCGGTTGCTTTCTGGGGGCGGTGGGGGCGGAAGGGCCCCAGCGGCTCCTGCCAGCCCAGCTGCCTGCACTCAGAGCAGCAGCTTGGCCCAGATGTCGGGCTGACGTCAGAGATGGGGTCATCTGGACAGGGAAGCGCTAACGTGGCCGGCCCCGGGCACGCACTGGCCCCAGCACCTCCCGGCCGCCCGGGGTGAGTGGGGTGCGGGCACCTCCCCGGGCACCAGAGGTCACTGTGAGGAGGACAAAGAAAGGGGGCACTTGTCCTGCCGGCACCTGAAAGACCCTGAAGACACATGCTAACAGAGCCAAAACCGTGTGGTTAAAAACCCGCTGGACCCCAGCCCCTACAGGGACACGCACAGGGCTGGCACTGCCCTGCCACCATCAAGTGTTTCGGCCACCCCTGTTGTGTACTCGCAGCTCGGGGTGCTAGGGGGGAAATTCAGGTAAAACAGCCCCCCCCAGCCTCCAAAGCAGCTGCTTTCTGCCCCAAACCTGCAGTTTGTGTCACACCGAGCCCCTGCTGCAGGCTGCCTGCAGGATCTCGGCTCTTCCCACCGCTCCAGCCTCCAGCGTGGGGACACCATCCAGGTTCCCAGCCTGCTCCAGGGACCACCGCAGGCCACGAGGCCACCAGGATAGTCGGTGGCTGACCCAGTGGTGACACCAGGGTGCCCTGCTCCCCAAACAGCTGACTTGACTCCCACGGTGCCTCCACCATCCTTGCAACCCCCAGTGCTGCGCGGAGCTTGCCTGGCAGCAGGCACCCCAAGCAGCTGCCAAGCCACAGGGTTTTGTGGTCTGCAGGGAAACCCCACCAGGTTTGGAAGACAGAGATGAACCACCAGCGAAAACACACTCTCCCTGTCCTTCCCTGCCCTCGGGGGTGCCGGGACCTGCCCCCAGCCTGGGCTCGGACAGGAGATGCATCTGTGCCTCCATCCCCGAGTCCAGATTTAGGCCACCGGCACGATTAGCCGCTAAACAGTGCCATCTCCTGGCAAAGCCACCGGCCATGCCGAGCCCTGCCACCGTGCTGGGTGGCTGGTGAAGGCACATGAGGCCTTGGGCACCCCTGGAGCACCCCGACCCCCCAAATCCAGCCTTTCCTGCTCCACGCCCTCCTCTGCCCCTGGCAGCAGCTCTGCCTTGCTGGGAGGGGCAATGCCATCCCGAGGGATGCGAGTGCTAAACTGTCCCTAGGGATGCTCGCAGGAGCCAGTCCATCCTCTTGACACCAGCTTTGGGTGGCTGTGGCAGGCACAGCTGGGATGGGGCAGAGCTTGGAGATGTTCAACAGCCGTCCTGGGGTGTGTGCTTTAAACTGGGGCTGCAAAAGGATCAGAACACCTCATGGCTGCCTTGCCAGTCCCCCTGCGCCATGGGTATCTCCCATGGGAGATGGATGGCTTCTGGCAGGGGTCTCAGCAGGCCTGAGCTGAAGGCTGGTCATGCCTGGATAGAAACTGGCAGTGCTGTAACCTCGCTCTGCTAACAGGTAAACTGAGGCACAGAGCAACCAGGCGTGGGGAATTCACCGGAGTCAGGGAGACAAGTGGGGCAGAGCGGCCAGCTACACCCAGGACTTCTGTCCCCAGCCTGTCCCTATCCTTGGGGGGGGTGGGGGTGGCATTTCCCTTGTGCCCTCTGCACGGCACCTCTTTGCCCTGCTGTGCTGGTCCAGGGAGAAAATAAAAAGAACAAGACTGCTTCCCTGCCTCCACCCAGCACTTACGCCATCTGATAAACAAAATGGAAATAAATCCTCCTGCGTTTGCAGCAAATAGGTCTCCACGGGGGGTTGCTTTCAATAATTCAAATGCCATTGCAGAGCAGAGCCCACGCGAATGGGTTTTAATAAACACAGCCGTAATGTGACATGCAATTTATTATTAAGCTTAAAACAGGAAGCAAAGAGTTTAATAAAAGCACCAGGTTCCCCGTATCAGTCACGGCAAGTGGGGGGATGCTGGCTGTGGGGGTAGGCTGGCCGAGCCGGCTGCAGGGGCATGGAGCCGCGTTCACTTTGCCGCGCACCTCCCGAGC